AAAAAAAAAAAAAAAAAAAAAAAAAAGATTCCGACGAACTGATAACCTCCTCCTTTTTTGGAAGTCGGTTAAAAAATAGACTCACATTTTTTATTTTGAAATCAAAAAATATTTAGAGGTCGCTCAAAGCGCTCAAAGTTTTCCATGTACAGTGAAACCTCTCCTAACGGACACCTCTATTAGACGGACATCTCCCTTGGGCGGACATTTTTTCCTATGCTAAGTTTTAAGTACAAATTTCGGAACAAATTACTCTCTCTTAAGCGGACACTCTCTTGGCCGGACGCGGACAGTTATTTTGCATAAAATTGACACAAAAATCTCTATTGAGCGGACGCGAACCTCTTATTAAGACACTAAAATTCCTTTTCATAACAAATCAAATAAAAACCTCCGTTGAGCGGACGCGAACTCCTCATAGGCGGACTACTAAATGGAAAAGGGGGACTTCCCGCATAAAATGTGATTTTTATGCACACATTTAGTTTGGTTTGCGCAGTGATTTAGGTTCATTATTTGAATTATCAGAAACCCTTGGAGAATCCAATTCCAATTCTGATGAATTTATAACAATAGATAATAATAAATACATGGACCGAAAATTTAGATTTCTGGTTAGATTTTGTTACTGATAAAAACATGAAAACTGTTGATGAAAAAGGTACTGACACTGAAAAAAATTAAAAATAAAACTTACGTCAATCGACAATTTCCCAGTTTTTTATGTAATGAATCCATGGTTTTATGTAGTTTATGGATTGAAATGTAATATTTATTTTTATTTTTTTATTACTTAATGTGTACTTACGCACATAAATGAAATATGTACTTTTGAAAAAATACATGCACATTTTTGTTTGAACGATGTAATATCAATATATTTTATACAAATAAGAAATAGTGAATAGTCACAGTAATTAAAACATTAAAAAGTACTAAAATAAGCTTCCCTTCCATTGAGCGGACACCTCTCTTCGGCGGCCAAAAAATGACTGACGGTGAGTGTCCGCCCAAGGGAGGTTTCACTGTATTTTATGAAAAAACAACTTTTCGTGGAAATGGTATGGAATTCTTGAAAATCAATATTTTTCAATCACCCTAATGTAAATACATAAATATGTATTCAGTCCCGTGATTTATTGGCTTAGCTTTCAAACTTGAATTTTTATTTGCTGCCAAATCTTGTAAAACCGGATCACCCAAAGGGTGTAGTATAAATAATTAATATAAATAGCTAGCAAATACAATTAGCACAAATAAAATTTTTTCCGCTCATGGCCCATTGTGCACCGATGTGCAAGACTGAACAAATGCCGGGTTGTTTAAACCCACAACTGGACAAGGTGAACGCAGTCGGACGTACACACATAGCGAACAACTTAAATAAAATAAAATAAAGGCAATAAATAGCAGAAAAACTTAAAATAACTGAGCAATACAGATGAGAGTAGAGCGCCAATTGAAGGGATATGGTGTTGTTGGAGGGATTATCATAAAACGCATATGCCTCAATATCAGTACGATACGAATATGTATGTGTATATGTGTATGGGACTTTTGAACAGGGAAGCCAACTCGTGGAGAATTCCCGATTTGCGGGGGATTTCAGTTTGCGAGGGGAATCGGGGAATGCACATTTTTTTGTGGGGAATTCCAGTTCGATCAATTCTAGTACAACAAAGTTTCAAACGGCTAAAAATTACCGTTGATTTTTTAGAAATTTCTTTGTCGCATTTGCTTTCATATAACGAATAACCACAAGTTATTTTTAAAAGGAAGAAAACCGCAACAGCTTCGGCAAAAAAAATCTAAAACGAAAATTTTTACCCACTTGAAACTTGCACTAGAATTGAGTGAGTTTCTAAACTGCATACTCAAAACCTTGCTACAAAATCTATTTAAGAGGTCGACCTTTTTACGAATGTTGATTTATTATAAATATTGTAAAAAGTATGAAACTTGGATTTATACACTTTTCGTTAAAGAGTGAACTATATATTTATAAAAAATTACTAAAATTATATAACCAAAAAAAAATAGTTGTGAAAACTTGGCAAAATTTGGTGCGACTAAAATTTTGCCGACCACTCTATGTAAATATGTAAATATTATATCGCACACCGAGTCACAACTCAAAATAATACGTTTGCCAGAAAATGCGAAAAACTATTTCTAAGCGCATGATAATCATATGGGCAAGAGCGACTTTACCTTAGGTTTTTTTTTTTAACAAATAATAACAAAAATTTGCTCCAGCTTTTTCTGAAAGGTAAATAAAAGCTCTGTGTACATATTAAGCGCATAATTTCAAAAGTGCTAAACTTTGAGTTGTGACTCTTTTGAAGACGGTGTGCGATATAAACCTTTTTTATACTTTATTTGTTAACTAACTTTATACAAGTTTGGTTTGGCTTATGAATACACTTAAATCCATCTAGCCGTTTTTAGTGAAGAGAGGTTTCGCATAGTGCAGGTTTATAATTTCATCAAATTTCAAATCACCACTAAAGGTGGAGGTCCTTTTCAAAAGTTATTTCAAACTAAAATCTTCTTAAATCCCTTTCGCCTAACATTGTGATATACGTGTGTTTCAATAGCAGATGAACTAATTTGAATTTGATTGTTCAAACACGTTGCAACCCTCCTAAATGAAGGTCAGAAATAAAGAGTTTTCAAACCCATTTCGTTTGATACGAAACTTAATGAATAATTTGAAAGTAACTTTTTAAACACGTGGCAGCCCTTCTCAAACGTTCCAATTATTCAGACTAAATATTTCTTAACACTCTTTCGTTTGACTCCCGTATTTACATAATTCACATAAGTTTTGCGTTAGTTGATTAAATTAAACCTTTCAAACAAATGGTAGCCCTCTCGAAAAGTATATTCAAGCTAAACTCTTGTTAAGGCTTCTTTGTCTAATATTGCGACACATATTTTATTTAAGTGACAAATTAAGTTGAGCTTGATTTTTTAAACATGTGGCAACTCCACTAAATATGGTTCAGAAGTAAAGATTTTTGAAACCCCCTTAGATAGATACCCAAATTTTAATAATTAATTTAACTTAATAAATACTTTGAATACAACTATTTAAATAGGTGGTAACCCTTTTTCATCACCTCAAAAATAGTCTTAGCGTTGAAAATAAGATTTCTTAACACACTTTCGTTTGACATTAATATTTTGATGTTTCATATAATTTGTGTATAAGTTAATTAAATTCGCCATTTCAAGCAGGTGGCAACCTTGTTCAAAATATTTTCAAACTATTACCTTCTTAAAACCATACTTCTCTTACCTATTTACCTTAATTCAAATTGAATTTTATTTTTAAACAGGTAGCAACCCTCCTATAGTTAAGTTAAAAAACAAAGCTTTTCCAAACCCTTTCGATTAATACCTGTTTTTAATAATCGATACATTTTTTTTTTAAAAATTTGAATATAGATAAGTTTTTAAAAGGTGGCAACTCGTTTCAAAAAAATAAATCCTTATTGCACATCTACAGCCCGAGCCCTTTAATTTCACACCTCACTTTTGAAAATCGAACGAACGGTACGGACTTGATGGTATTGATTATTGAAAAATTTTAATTTAATTGCCATTTTTGAAAATCGAACGAACGGTGCAGATCTTTTATGCTGAACAAAAAAATGCCTTCGTGTATTATATACATATATATATATAGATTTTTTGTGTAAATAAGGATCTGGATGATATCTGGAGATGTGTGGGGAATTTTACGAAATTTCGGGCAAAATCGGGGAATTTCATTGTCGAAATCGGGGAATTCTCAAAAATGAGTTGGCTACTTTGCTCCTGAAGTGCAACTTACAATAGTGAAGTGGCAGAATTTTTCGAGAAGACCGGCTAGACGAGCAAAAAAATCGGCTAGAAACGGCTATATATAAGCTTTTTCCCTGGATAAAAATGGAAGGTTATTTTTTCAGACAATTCACGATTTTATTATTAAATAACATAAAACGAGACACAACCGCATAACATTTGTTTTTAGTGTGCAACTAATACAATATTAATTATACTATGTGGTAAATATATTCCATTAAACATGTGGAAAATTAATATGTACATACATATAAGTCATATGAGTTTAATATTAAATTTCTATCGCAGCTTTTGTAAGAGACTTCTTAAAATAACTGGCCCTAGTCATAGAGAAGTTAGAAAAAGGTTTTAACGATTAAAATTGTGTTTTATTGTAATCACCATTTTAACTCTGTCATAGTAAACTTAAAACGCATTTTATGGCAAAAACAGAATTTTAACTTTAAAATGAGGAGAACGCGGATCTAAAATGGTAAAATAAGGTTCTAACTTTTGTTGTTGAAGTAGTAAACGCAATAGCACCCAGGTTCGGTCCCCACTCCAAGAGATTCCAAACAATATTTTTTTTTTTTTTATATTTTTATTCAACAATTTTTATTGAGCTTCGGGCCGTTTTTAATGAAAAACTTATTGTGGAAAAGCAACAATAATTAGAAAAAATGGTAGAAGTGATAGCTATTTCGGAAATCACCACATTCAGACTTCTTTCAGTAGGATTCGAACCGAAGATCCCACTGACTCAGCCAGTTGCCTACGCACTGTGCTAAGTTCGCCTTGTAAATTATCGTTTGATTTTTTCCACTATTTTCATTTTTGTTATGCCAACACAATCAAGCGCAGCTATTCCTCTGCAATTTACACTTTATCATGTGCCTGTTGGTTTTTTTGGGACTTTGTTAACAATTCTATTTTTAGAATGTTTAACTTTTAGGTCTGCTCTTCCTTAAGTTATTTGTTTTTGTTATTTTATGGCCTTTTAACAATAATATTCAACAATTTGTATTGAGCTTGAGGCAAACCTAAAAGTTAAACATTCTAAAAATAGAATTATTAACAAAGAACCAACAAAACCAACAGCCACATGATCAAGTGTAAATTGCAGCGGAATAGCTGCGCTTGATTGTGTTGGCTTAACAAATGAAAAAGTGGGAAAAAGCAACTATAATTTACAAGGCGAACTTAGTACAGTGCGTAGGCAACTGGCTGAGTCAGTGGGATCGTCGGCTCGAATCCTACTGAAAGAAGTCTGATGAGGAAATGTGGTGATTTCCGAAATAGCTATCACTTCTACCATTTTTTCAAGTTATTCTTGGTTTTCCACAATAAGTTTTTCATTAAAATAACAAAAAACAAATTATATTTTTATTTTAACATAAACATTTTTTATTTTATTTTATTAAATTTTTTTTTATTATCTTTTTTTGTTTATGGTATTTCATATAATTATTTCGTTATTAATAAAATTTTTTGGAATTTAATTTTAATTAAAAAGGCCACAAAAACTATAATTGAGTAACAAAAATGTAAATAATATTTAAAAAAACAAAACAAGATGTAAAACAATGTTCCCTGGGAGTGGGATTCGAACCCACGAATTCCCGGCTTGCTAAATCCGCAATCCTGCAGAGACACAGGGTGAACTAACTAAAGTAATCATATTTCATAATCGCTGAACTTGTTTTTTTTTTCAACATAGATAAATGATCTAATTGATGTACAGTATATTTTGCTTTGCTGCCTCTATGCTTAAGTGCACATTTAAGATACCTACCCCAAAATGCGCATCAAAAGCATTATTTTTAAGATTTATAAGGAAACTGCATTCAACATACCTGCACATTGGCGATACCTGCTTTAAAAATTGTGCAACTAGTATCAAGTATCAATGAAAGTATTACGTTTACCTGCACTGGCCCTACAATTACTTAATTTTACAACCTTTTATTTATTTTGCTCATCTCGCAGAACAACGAAAATGGCTATCAATTTATGTAGTTATATAGATTATTAGATAACATTCGGCAAAAATTTCGCTTGCAGTAGTTTCTACATGGTAAGTGCTCCGCCAATATTTGGTTTCATAGGGATTCGGATACCTTCCTCATTGAAGTAGTAAAGAAAATTCGCTTAAGTGCCTTTTTCGTTTACGTGCACAAGTTTTTCGTGCAAAGAAGGATGTGCAGCTAAGCAAAATATA